GGAGACACGGCCACGAGGTGCCAACGGCGAACGTAATCCGATATAGATGTTGTTTAGGTCGACTTTTCCGTGCCCATACTCTGTAATACGTCAAAAGCCTAGTTACCATTTGTATCCGACATTAGCGTTTGCCATTTAAATTCACCACCTCGTAGACGGCTTTTCAAGCTGTTTACTACCATTCTTCACTCGAACTATGCTTGAGCAGGAAGTTGTGCAATAAACTGAATATTGGGGCTTTTTGAATATCCTAGGAAGCGTATACTAAAGAGAGCAACTTACTTTTGAATTTTAAATCATTTTGTTTGCTTTTTTATAATAAATTATTGTAGTTGTAAATTAAGATTCAGACAATTCGAAACCTTCATTGTGACCTGTTGTGAAGCAGGCTAAAGGGACGTGGACATCTGAATTAAGCAGCATCCTCCTCTTAGACAAACTAAGCTAACTTTAAAAGGTTTTGCTCCATCTGCACTAGCCTTCAAAAAGCGTGACATCTTTCAAAGCAAACTGAATCAGCAGAAGTTTTTCGCATTGAGCCAGAGACTCTATACATAGCTTTGTTTACTTCTGCTATAGAAAAAATGACTCTTTCATACGAGAGCATTAGCGTAGGCGTTGCGTTCCCGTAAACACATAGTATTGGGGTCTAATTAGGATGATACACGATGAACGGTGTCTGGAAACGAAAACGTGAGTTGAAAGTTGTCAAAGGAATACAAATGGCTAATAGCGCAATGCTGCGAACGAGTATTATAAAGATCATTTATTTGACATCTCTTTTTCTCCGATATTCCTTCCAACTTTGGGGAGGGGAAGGAGAGAGTAAAAAGTAGAATACTTCGATTAGGTGCTAATTCGTTCGAAGTTGAAAGGCGGTCTCTTTTTGAAAGGTTATTTCCAGAGTTTATCTCTGAATCCCGTTACTTCGTCTTTGATAATGTGAAGAATGGAAAGCTTAGCGCTGAAAACGGGACGAGTTTTATGCAGTTTATCATAGGACTGCTCTTATAAGTTTTAACCAAGCGAATTTTTGATGAGAAGAAACAAGGCAAAGCTTGGAGGCCACCTAGAAAAACTCTCAGAGCACTTTAATATTCGTGGAAACAACAGCTTTGGGAGGCTTTTTTTCCCAGTAATTGGCCCTCAAACTGTGTGGTGGTTGAAGATCTTGATTGAGTTGTACTTTAAGGACATTACTGAAAGCTGGCGATAAAGAGGGCAAGTGATTAGGTTACGCTCGAGCTCTTCATAGTTACATTCATCTTTGTATCTGGGGGCTGCCATAAGAAAAGGCCTGAAGAGCAATCTAAAAAACTGTGATGTGAAGCTTCGTATACAGACGTATACTGAAACGAGGTAAAGAAATGTCAAATTATGTTTTGTCTCACGTTTTCTTTTTTAGGAGTATGACTTTTTCCAAAATCTCGAAATGCACGTTCGGGCCAATTTCCCCCCGTTGTGCGGAAGAGACCACTTGGCCTTCAGGTCATACTACCATCCCTGTAAGGTGAGAACATGTCTAAATGTTGCATTTTCGACTATTTAATTGTTTTATATCATCATTGTAGAATGTCATTGATGGTGATCTTTGCGAGCAGTTTGGACTGATGGATGCATCGGCGCAACGTGAAGTAACTGAAGGATTGGATAGAACAACAAGCGAGGTTGGTTAACATTTTTATAAAGAATTGATACAATATGATCGAGAGTCTTTATACAATTCATATCCTATATGAAAAACTAGGGTCTTTATTTTCAATAATAATAGTATCAAATATGGCAAGAGTGCAGAACATCTCTTTCCAGTTTTCTTTATTACGAGTCAATCTGTCTTCTGAAATGAAATAATCTTTGGTGCTCTAATTAAGCTTGTGCAGAAGTGAGAAATAAATCTATTTACTAACTCCAAAATTTCCAAAATCCTTCTCAGCTGAACTAAGGGATTCTCTAAACTATATTAGAAAAGAAAATGATATTCATTGAGTACATAATAACACCCATTTGAAGATCTCAAAGAAATTGGAAGATATTCGTACGAGGTATGCGTTCTGAAGCGAAGGCTATGCTTTTGTCAGATTCACGGTCTCTGGTAGCAGCGATCACAACTTTGTTCGTAGTCTTTCGTGTTCTGTCATTGTAATATATTCACGGCTTTTCACGAGTCGCAGGTTGTTTGTGTCGTGCTTGCGGCTCTTCGGCAATTTATCCAGTGTGTTATTTGTTGTTAGTGGTTGTCTCGTTGTGTAGAAGTTGTTTGTTGGAGCGTTGTTATTGCTGCTCTTTGCTAGTAATAAAATATTGTATCGCAAAATGTGACGTGATGATTTGTTTTCAATCTCATCTTACTTTGAGAGATTATACTGAG